ACACTTTCCTAAGAAGCTCTTAGAAGATGCATTTTAGTAAAATAAGAGAGTGATACAAAGTAAAGGAACTCCTGGATCCAAGAAATGAGGATCATAACCACGAGAGAGGCAAACAGAATGGCCACATTACAGTAGTATCAGAAAGTGTCCCAATCAGACTGAAATAAGATACTGGTAGGAGGTGGGAAGGTCTTTAAAAAGAAAATGGAACTGATACTGCCTGACCTGCTGGAGCACCTGGGAAAGGACAGGTTGACCAGACTGCTTTGGGGTATGTCTTTAGCAGATGTTTTGAAAGTGTGGAATAATATTCTCCAGACTGGGTTCTTGCTTGCTTTTTGCTTATTATTAGCTATCTGATCTTAAGAAAGTTGCTTTATTTTCTCTATGTCAGTTTCCTCCTTTGTGAACTAACAGGATTTCCTTGAGTAGCACATGGGTCAGAGCTCAAATGTCTGCAGGAGTTACACAGTTTGGGATTCAGATACCAGGGAAGGATATGGCCCACATGGGCAGGTGCTACTTGGCTTCAGACAGTTAGTAGAGAGCCCAGTAGTGTCAGTTAGTCCTAAAGGTCAAAAGACTTTGGAAACCTGGATTTTCATGACCATCTTTCCAAATTTTAAGACATTTTGCCTACGAAATAAAATATATCTGCCTGCCAGTAGAGAACAGTTAGAATCTGTGTGCTCTAGACATGGATCAGCACTCCACCAGAATTATGAATCCAAATGAAAAGCTAGTATCATGACAGAATTTGATATCCAGCAACCAGAAAAAGATCTGCATTCTAGCATGTGCTCAGAAAGTATTTGCTGAAAGAACACCTAAGAAAGCAGAACTACTAAAACAATAAGAGACATAAAGTGAACTAAAATTATCCTTAGGTGAATAGAGAGTGTGTCCTCAAGAAGAGTGGTATAACAGTAAGTGAATTAATGATTTAAAAAATCGGGCTATGACATTGTTTAAGCATGTAACAAGAAAGAAAACTCAGAGACATGAAAGTAGCACCAACATCTTTTTGATAGCACTTACCAAAAGAAAGAACTAATTAGAGGGAAGAATGCACTAAGTGAGAGACTCACTCAAAGGGAGGGAAGAGATACACAAAGAAGAAACAGAGAGAGGCAAAGAGAAGTACATTTTCCCAAACAGAAGACAATAAATAAATAAATGTGTTAACACATTTTAAGTATAGGTAGTAAAGAAAAATAAACTGGAACTAAATTTGAGATATAACAGGATATGGCAAAGTGGGGAGGGAAGAGAAGAAAAGAGTGGCAAAGGTTCTTGTCTTATTATATGGGAGAATATGAAGGAAATTGATAGAAAAGAATTATTTTAACAAATTAATCTCAGATGTAAAAATGTCTATCAACAGAGAAAATATGTACAGCTAAAATCTGCAGAACAATCATAAAAATTAAGCTCTTATTAGGTTACAAAATAAATCTCAACTCTTCCCAAGAAAAACACAAGTTATCTTCACTAACAAGAATAAAATAAAACTCAAAACTGAAATAGAAGTATAATCAGAATTTTTCTAAATTCTCAAAATTGTAAGCACCTTTCTAAAATCCTCCTTCGAAGATGAAGTCAAAGTTGAAAAAATGCCTCTTTAGGAAGGGAGACAATGCAATCAGTCCACAGATACTGGACAGTCAGTCCCTGTCTTGCTGTCAGACCCTGACTAGGAGTGTATGGGTTAAGGGAGAGAAACCAAAACCAACAGGATGACAAATGATAGTTTTACATTAGATGGGAATGAAGTAAAACTCCTAGAAAGGCCATGAATCTTCCCAAATTATAGGCAAAGGTCAAGATAGGGAGAGCCCCCGGGAAGGAAGGAAGGGAAGAAAAGAAGGGAGGGAGGAAAAGAGAGAAGGAGAGAGGGAAAGAACCCAAAGCTACTCTTGCTTGTTCCCACTGAGCTCAGCTTATTTAATAAACCAACTACAAGGCCGGAGATTTAGCTCAGTGGTTCCCCCACCTGTCTACCTGTCTCACAAGCGCAAGGTCCCGAGTTCCATCCCCAGTACCAAAAACAAAAACAAAACTATGCAGTTGTTATTTATGTAACTTTAAAAAATAAGAAAATCCATCTTCATCTGTTTTTTTTTTTTTTTTGGCTTCCCAGGCCCCAATTCCACTTCGGTTTCTCACAAGTTTTAGTGAGTTATTAATGACTATTTTACAGTTTTCCCATTTATAACGAAATCTGTCAAGAACTAAGTGTTAGCTATATTTCCTAACCTTTTCTGATTCACCAATTCTTGAAAGAGTTTTGAGACCAAGTTTTATGAGCTCAAAGAAATTCCAAATTTAAGATGACCATGAACTTTAAAGCTAATGTCCAGTGGTGGGGGGGAAGTGGTCTGACTCCCTTTGCTTTCATTTTGTATTTTAATGACTTGCTGTATCTGGAATTAGTTGGATTTCTCCTTCTCTGCCCAATCATTGAAACCGCCATGAAGTATTTTCATTCTATTAAGATACAGCATTTGCAACTGGTTTGTCTTGGCACATTCACTGAGGAGCTTATCTTCTTGTCCCTTAATTATAATCTGGGCATTTTTCAGAATCTTCTGTTCATTTCAGCCCTATTTGAAACTGCAATCTCTTTTTCAGTTTGCAGTGTTTAAAAGGAGATCTTCTAGGTTTGGCTTACTGGGATTTTTTTTCTAGCAATCCAAGTAAATTTTTGCTAATTTGTATTTTAAATAATCTGCAGAATAATTGATCATTGCCATAATCTATGGAGCAAATTTGTTGAAGTAAGTCTATGAATGTTTTCTAGAGGAGAAAATAAAAAGCAAAAATTTCTTAATTTTATTGCTGGATACTTCCTTTGTATTTCTTTGCACTGCCCTAGGAAACTTCGGCCCAGAGACAGGTTCTAGAGAGCAAAGCTCAACTTTCTTAAACAGATCTCAACCATACTCTAAGTTCATCCAAAGTATATAGGCCTTCTCATAATCTGAAAATAGGATCCATGAATGCAATACTTATCAGGAATAAAACCTACTTTATACCCACTGACATCAAATACTTAAATCTCTAGTATTTATAGACTATTGCCTGAAAGATATATATAGTCCTTGATATTCTATCTTTCTAAACATAAAAGTCTGATCTAGCCAACTTTTTTGGGGGGGGTGGGTACCAGGGAATCAAACTCAGAACCTTGTGCTTGCGAGGCAAGCAGCGGAACCACTGACCTAAATCCCTGGCATAGTCAACTTTTTTACACTATAGCATCTTCACAATATGTATTTTGAAAATATAGCACCTATCCACATTAAGGAATACTGGAATTAATTTTCTTAAATTTCAGTAGGAGGAATAGATATGCTTTATTTGACAAATGTGGATTTAAAAAATCATATGCACAGTACAAACTGCATAATTGATTTCCCCCTCTGGACCAGCTAATATAAACTTGTAGCCAAATTTGTGACAAACGCTAACAGGTGTATGTATTCCATCCCCATAATATGGTTCACTTCTTGATTTAATTCTATTTTTCCCACTTCCCTTTTGTTCTTTGCTGTGATTTGATGACTCATTTTCTTTTGTTATATACTATGCAATTTTAAGCTATCTCAAACCCTTTTCAGAACAACATGAAGTATAAATAAATCTTGAGAATAAATATTTGGTGTGGTTAACACAATGTACCAATAACTTCATATAGAGCTTTTAGGCTTTCTGTTTTTGTGGTGTCATGTGGAGGCATGCTAAATATATATGTAAGGCCCACTATTACACTGAATTTATAAGTAAGCAAGGCAAATGTATAAATGTTACCACTCGCTTCTACTCTTTAAAGTTGGAATGACGCAAGACCAGGGAAAGTGGCAGGATGAATAAACCAGTCTATGCAGAAGGCTTGTAACATCCTCAACACCTTAGAAGAAAAACTATCAAGTGGATCCAAAAAAATCCAAGAGTGTACAGCCCAAGGGTACTGAATGGCAGGAGGCAGTGGTCAGATGAAAAGGCATTTGAAGCTCTAACTTCTTTACTGCAGAAGTACAAAGAAAGGAACTAATTTTCTTGAAAGAGCAAACGGAAGAGCCTTCAGTGGGTACGTAGTCGGCACACACTACAGCCACTGTTCACTGCTGGAACTGGCCCCAGAGTTCCCTCTAGTAGCATTCATGCTCAAGAAAGCAGATGGGGCCATTTCATTTTCCCCTCGTGGCAAACCTGCCAAAATAACATGATATTCTTCTACCAGTAATTTGAAATTTTAATTTCTTATTTCCTTGAATGTTTTTAAGAAAACCAACAGAGCTCTTAGCATGTGCTAGGCACCCTTTTAAAAAGCTCACAAATATTGATTTGCCGAATTATCCTAACAATCCTATGAAGTAGGTAGTACGATTATTTGTATTTTTTACAGATGGGGAAAATGAGTCACAGAACTTAGTCACATAGCTATTCCATTTGGTCTTCAGAACAGCATTACAAATTGGCAGGAAGGAAATACACATATGCAGTCAACTCAAATTTGGTAATGTAAAACACAAGAATTATAAGTAAAGGAGAGTAATGGACCACCTACCCGATTAGAGGTTTAGTAATTTGGACTCAAATTCTCTCTTTGCCATTGATTGGTTGTGTAGGTGAGGTGGGCACAAAGTCACTGAATTGTGATAACCCTAAAAAATAAAATTCTTGCTGGCCCTTGTGGCATACACCCGTAGGCCTAGCACTCTTCGAGGCCAAAGTAAAGGACTGCAATGAGGCCCAGCCTGGGCAACTTATTGCCTTAGCAAGACCCTGTTTCAAAAGAAATATAAAAAAGCAGTGGGGATATATAGCACAGTGCAAATGTCCTGGGTTTTAGTCTCCAGTACTGTAAAATAAGCAAAAATTGCTATGGTCTCTTCAAGCCTTCACTGCTGATGCTATATAACTTAAATCTGGCTCTAGAAATGGATGTTCGTATAAATGACCAAGCATGGTACAATTCTCACATACAGAATACTTACCACAACTCTGGTGTAGACTTCCTCAGCAAGTGTGGTGCTCTGGAATTTATGCTCTGTAGGAAATGTGTAGGTCTTCAGCCACTCCAAAAGTGGCAGGTCCACATTACTTCCAGCAAAGGCGTACTGAGGGGCATGGATGTGTGTATCTACCAGCCCAGGTATGAAGAACTCACTGGAAGTTAATGAGAGAGAAAGCATTTAAGAACATCTTTAGTTGCTTTCTATTATCTTTAAAATTATATATTCTTCTGGCAATGATTTAATTGATCATCCCACACCAGTTTACAGCAATCTAACAACAGTAAGCCTTTCTATTATCAAGAGGTCTGGTAATAAGAATGACACTCTCCTAGGAAAGAGAAAGCTTCTGTAATGAAACAGGAGGTGTGAGGATAACTAGAGATGACAAAGGGAGGAAAAAGCACAACACTAAGCAGAAGCAAAAGCAGCTGTAGCACAAGAGCAGAGAAGTCAGGACCTTATCCTATGACTTTGGTCTCACAGCTGGGGGTTGTGAAACTGACAGCAAAGATGGGAGAGGAGGTCTGAAAATTCTAGGGCCAGATGCAGTGAATACACGTGAGTCATCAAGAGTGACCAAAGATGAGAAACAAAGTGGCTACAACTTTGGTTCCGTGGTCATCTTGATCTTGGCTGACTGCAAGTCATCTAATCTTTCCCCTTAAGCCCAAGGCACTAGTTCTGAAACAGAAGCAGCAAGAACAAACTGGGGCTGATTAGGGACAGGTGATCTGAGGAGAGCAGAACATAAATGGGTCATTGGTAAGAACGGTTAAGTGAAGAGGGAATTTCTGTGCTGTGACTGCCATTCTCTAGAAGTTTCTAATCACTCCTGCTGTTGTCCTCATCCACCAATCAGTATTCACATACTTGCAGCTCTCCCACAGAGGCAAGCCTGTGTCTAGTAAGTATCTAAACTCATCCAAATGGCTGTTGAAAGGTGGTATGCGCTTCCCCTATTATCACCCTTTGTTCCTCAACATAGTCTCTTACGGAAATCCAGGAAGAAGAAAGAACATTAACACCAGAAGTTACTGTGTTAATTTTCATGCTTATTCCCCACACTCTTCCAAGCTACTGAGAGGCAGTGGGGAGAAGGAAGGCATAGGCACTGCGATATACACTACAAATACAAGTGCAATGAAACTGCGTGCACAGTCATCTGGTTCCCCGGACTTTCACTAGAGACCGCTCAGTAGCCAAGGTGAGCTCAAAGAAAGGAAGACGCCTGCTTCACATCTAACAAATGGAAAGTATGGGTCTTGCTACATTATCCTAAAGACAATTTCCAAGTAAGGAAGGGGTTTTCAGAATGAAAATAGTACTTTTTTGGGGAAATACAGTTGGCCTAAAGCAAGATAAAATATTTAAGATATTTGAGCAGAAAACAAGTATCCCCTTCCCTTTCTTCATGCTGGGGATTGCTAGGCAAGCGCTCTATCATTGAGCTGTACAATCCCAGGCCTCTTTATTTTATTTTGAAACAGGGACTGGCTACATTACCCAGGCTGGCCATGAACTTGGAATCCTCCTGCCTCAGTTTTCCCAGTAGCTATGATAACAAGTGTGTGTAACCACACCTGGCTAAGTAGTCCCATGTCTAGAAAACAAATGAACCAGGCTATAAAGGCATGGACCCAACCACAGGAGACACATTTTACACAAATATTAAAAGTCACTAAAATTGCAGCTCAAACGCACTTCTGAATATAGGTCTTCCCTAATCATGCTGTCAGAGTAATTTTTTCAAACTCTATATGCCAATAGTTTATCTGTCATTTCTCTCCCCTTCCTCATTTACTTCCTTTTTGGGAGAGAACACAATGTGCCATGGTCATGCTTATATATCTGTCTGCATGGGGCTGTGAACTCTGTGAGGCCCAGCTAGTAGTACATAGTAGCACAACAGATATTTGCTGAAGAAACATATGAATATGGCAACTTCTGGCTCTCCAAGTTCTGTCCTTTAAGTTGCTATTCTCTTCATTCTCCTTCCTACTGCCCCAATTAAATAGCTAATTAATTGATTTAGAAAGTTCCTCTGTCTCTCAAGGCAGCTTTCCGGTCATTTAAGCCTAGTTAATGGCACCCAGCAAAAGGGAGGAAGTTAATGATGACTTACTGGTGGCCCAGCTCTCTCACATCACTTGATTTGAAGCCCCATTCTTTGGCTAGTTTTTCTTGCTGACATGCTTCTTCCAAAAACTCTATCTTTAAGAGAAAGAAAGAAAAGAATCACATGTTAATGAATCGTAAGTTATTTGTTGCATTAAATATACGCATCTTTTAAAGGGAGACTATACTGTTGCTGAGTTAATTTTATTTTATTTTTTTGGTACTGGGGATTGAACTCGGGACCGTGCGCTTGTGAGGCAGGCGGTGGAACCACTGAGCTAAATCCCGGCCCAGCTGAGTTAATTTTAAAAGGTATTTGATACTAAACGGAACTGAGTTGAGAGGCGAAAATGACAAGGGTTTGCCTTTGGTCATCACAGATGTAAACTGTAATTTCTCCTTTGCTGCCATAATATGACACATCAAAAATTCTAGATATTGAAAGTAGCAAAATGGAAATGATTAAAGAAAAGAATTGTTTTAGAAAACGTACCTTATCTTGAATGAAAAAGGTCTCTGTTTGGCTGTTCTAAGAAACCGCAACCCCACAGTGCAGAAGTAATGACATAGGGCAATTTATTAGCACAAGTGCCTGACACTGAGTGTTACCGTGAGCTATGTTGTTATTTGGATGCTAGATGTCTTCTGCAAAGAGGTCTTCTGCATATTTCTAGTATCATGTGTAACAGACACTTGAGGGAGGTAAGGAAGGGATGATTCGAGTTAGGCTTGTGAAACCCAGGGCCAAGAGCTGGGCAAGCGTGGGTGGTCTCTAACTCTCTCTGGTCTGCTACTCCCACCCTCCATCCCGGGATAACCCTAGACACATTTCACAGGGCTGCACATCCATCAGTTTACAGCAGGTCTTTAGTAGTTAGCAAGGGTCTAGCTCTCCAAAAACTGACAGATTAAAGCCACCAATCCCTTTTCCTGTTTTGTTTTTTTAAAAAATGTTTCCAGTCAACACCCAAATCGAATGCACTGGGCTCCTCACATACACACCAGGGATCTTGATTTTTACCAGTATCAACAAGACTCTCTCTACCACTAGCCACTTACAAAATCTTCACTGTGACCTCTTTTACTGCTCCTCCATAAGCAGCAAACTACCCTAGTCTTCAATGTGTACTGTCAATGTCTTCATCTGAAGAATGGGGCTGTCCCCCGGTGCCTTCTCAAACAGCAGATTTTTTGTATCTTAGGGTAAGGGAATGAGTTTGCGACCTCTATATTCCCTATGGGCTTTGCCAAACCATTTTTCTGCAGCTTCCTGCAGGCAAACAAATCTGATTCTTTAAAATGCTCCCTTTCTGTTTCAGGGGCATCACTCCTCTCCCTTTGAGGCTCTTCTTTACCAACTTTTCCTCATTCTTCCACTTTGTTGATGCCTACCTCATACTTTCTCTTCACTCCCACCCTCCACCACTCCTTCAGGTTTCACCCTTTTGAAGAACATGCTCAACTATTTCTGTGAATTCATTCTCAATAATTTGTTCTGTTTCACATCAGCCACAAAAAACACCTTTAATGTGTTCATGGCCCATAACTGCTCCACCTCCAAAGCCACAAAATCACATTTAGGACCATATTTTCTTCTCTTTCCTGTTTGCCCCTTCAACCACTATAATCAATGCTCTACCCGAAAGAGCACTACCTTTACTTTCTCCCCTCCACGTCTTCCCAGCCCCCTAGCCATCTTCTTTCATCATTTTCCTTGCCCAGAGTAGATTCCACCACACATGATTTCAGATTCCCACTGTCCTTTAATGTACACCCTGAGTCAGTTAATTCCACCCTGATGTAATCCGACTCTCCCTTTCTCTGGTCCGAACCTAAGCAGCAAGTGTTGGAGCAAGATACATAACACGGTAAATAGAATATTCATCATCACCAGGCTCAAAAGTGCTCTTACCAATACCTGTGCCTGGCACCCTCTGACATTTCTCTAGCACTGTGGTGTTTACTGTCAATAAAACTGACGGATGATTGACCTAACTGCTTACAAAGCAATCATTAATATTTTTTGATGATAGTTTATACAATTTTTGTCAAATAATTTAGGACTTCAAAGATTGATGAACATCACTATAATAAAACTTTGTATTCCCATTTACTTGATTTTTATAAAAAATGTTTCTCAGCATTCACATTTACAGAAATGGAAAATTAAAAAAAAATCACAGTGCTTCTATTTCATTCTAACAACAAGTAACTCTGAATCACAGATATATTACACAGTTGAAGGAAAAATAACAGACTTTTTATTTCACATGTAACAAATTACCATTCAAAATTTATAACACACATTTTTAAATTTCCTTGTGTTCTCAGGAAACTTTAAGTGTCCACATAATGTCCACAAAATTTTTTGCAGTGGCTGATCAATAAAAGGCTTTCAGGTGTAAAAACATTGCATTAGTTTAAAAACTTGGTAAGGAAAGTAGATTAGAATTAGTAATTTAAGAAGAAAAAAGACAATATAACATTTTAGATCAGTAAAAATGGAGCCGGTTCATGGTATTTTAAAAAACTGATTAAGGTGATATCAATTCACTATATCTTGCTTCCTTCAGAATTATTTAAAAAATATAATTCATAGCTTAATTTCAACATGCATATATCTAAATTTTTATGGAAATCATTGGCTTTCCACATATTTAAGTTTAATAAAAACCCCTACATATAAACTTTTTGAACTAAATCTAGAAAGATTTAAACAATTTCTTTAGAGAGCAGATTGGTAATAAAGTGTGAAGAGTACTTCTCCAGTCAGCTTGTGTTCCAGCCATCCACAATGCTGATTTTAAATCTGCTCTCTTCCAGGTTTCTCACCCTATCAATCCCTGAAGTTAGCATCATATACGTGCAGTAATGAAATGTTGCAAACAATCTCAAAGTCAGTCAATCACAAACTGGCTAAGTATAACTAAACAATGAGTGATTCAAATTGACAGTAGAGACTTACATGGACTAAGTGGAAAGTTATCCTTGATAAAGTTACTAGGTGTCATGGTTTTATCTAGACAGCCCCCAAAGCCTCACATATGCATAGGTAGAGCTTTGAGGTAGTGACTAAATCATGAGAGTGTGATGCTTATCAGTGGGTTAGTCCACTGATATGTTTACAGCTCAATTCGATGTTGGAAAGTGAAGCCAGGTTGGAGGAGGTGGGTCACTGGGGGGATGGCCCAGAGGGTCTGTCTCCCTCCATCCTCCTTTGGTCCCTCTCTGCTTTCCACCACCATGCCATGGACTGTTTCTTCTCTCCAATGCCCCTCTGCCATGCTGCCCTGCCTCGGAGCCAGCCAACTATGGACTAAAACCTCTACAAGCTGTGAGCTAAAACAAACCTTTTGTATTTAGAGCTGTATGTGTTGGGTAATGTGTCTCAGCAATGAGAAAGTAACTAATACATTAGGTCAAGAGTACGGTATGATTACATTTTTGGTAAAAGAAGGGTGTGTGCATTTGTTGAAATGGTGGTGTCTAAATATTTATTAATATTGGTTAATTTTTAGCTGGGCATAGGGGCACATGCCTGTAATCCTAGCATTTGAAAGGCTGAGACAGGAGGACCACTATCAGTTCAAGGCCAGCCCTAAGCTACATAGTGAGTTCAAGGCCAGCCTGAACTACATAATAAGACCCTGGCTTAAACAACAACAACAACAACAACAACAAAAATTGGTTATCTCTTTATAGAAGTTGGGAATTCTTTCTATTCAAAATTGTTACATAAATGGCTTATTCTAGTCAAAATAAATATGGTTTCATTTTAAATATATATGAAAGTATAAAAGATAGAAGTACATGAGTCTAGTCCCTGTGCATGGGGCTTATGGCTGGGAAATGAAGACATAAAGAAGCAGAGGCATGAAAGCAAAAAGCTACAAGATGTGTTATAGACAAGAGTGTTCTATAAATGACATTGATGTACTGGCCTGAGGAGAACTCTACTCATGAACCAAGTTGATTTTTTTGGCTCTTATTCATGTATTCACTTATCAAATACTTCCTATTGTATCCTGTACAATAAATTGATAGATGAATATAAGTTATGCTGCCTATAGTGCTGAGTGCTATGATGAAAGATAAAGGGGAGTAAATACATGGACAAAAGCTGGCCTGTGAAGGTCTCCCCAAGAGATGCTGTTTGAGCACAGATTGGCATGCAGTTGGGAGGAGAGCCCTTCCCTGTGGCTACTCTGGGAGGAGCATTCCAGGTAGAGGGAACATCTAGTGCAAGGGCCCCAAGATATAGATGTTCCTGGCATGTTATGAATCCCCAGGTATGCCAGGGGGACACAGGAAATGTGAAACAGTGCTAGGAACCAGATAGTGATAGTGAAGGCTTATAGAGTATAATATAAGGAAGAAATCCAAGGTTTACCTTAAGAAAATCTCTAAAATTTTTGAAAAACTAATGTAGCAAAATTATAAAATATGATTGATGTTTTCTTCATGGGGCGATGAGTTTTTTCCTACCAAGGTTTTCTGGACTCCTACAGCCATTCACTCACTCATTCACCACCCAACATGTCCCTGGCATGGCCCATGGCTTTCTTCACAGGCCATAGTCTCAGTCTGGGTGGGTTGACAAACACATAGGCAAGTCATTAAAATCCAAGTTTCATAAAATCATAGATGGTTTTAGCTGGCAAGGACCCTCTCATCCAAACATCTTGTTTTCCAGATGAGGAAAATGAGCCCCTTCTGTTAAGCAAATAGCTCCAAGTACTTTCTTACTTGAAACTGGGACTCTTTAGGACAAGCAATAACAAGAATGTCAGGAATACTAAAGCCAAAGCAGATGAGTAATGACTGTTCACTAATGAAACAAATCTCTGCAAGATAGAGGCTTCAAACACCAGATGGTAAATTCTGGTAAGAGGCTCGTTGCCATGGAATGGACTAAACTGCTCATTGGGCCATTGTGAAACAGCTGGCCATGCAGCAAAATAAGGTAATACATGTCTCTACCCATTACACAAAATCCACCTTAAGTCACTATGATGGGAGATAATACAGGATAGAAACATGAAGTTTTGAAGATTTCTTAAGCTCTTGCACAGAAATGAATACCGTGATATTAGCTC